TGCACAGCCGTCTGGCCCACATCTGTGTTTTTAACACGCTTCCAGAGACCATTTAAAGGTCCAAAACTTGGGTCAATGTCATATTATCTGACTTGCTCAAGAAGAAAAACCAGTTGTAACAGCAACCTTGACTAGCACTCGCTTCTGTTTTTCCTAAATTCTTCTGACCCAATACACACATCTTCCTCCCTTTCTATTCAAATTGTCTTGGTTCAAGTGTTAAATATTTTAGATCATTAGGGTTTATGTAGGTCCCCAACTGTTCAGTACTCCAGACTGTTGGTTTTTGGAGAGAAGCAGAGAATAAACAACACTGTTTCTCCTCCTGAAATGATAAGGAATTGAGATACATGCAGGATTCAACAGATGGAAATCAAAACATTGTCTTCGTCATTAGTGAAGCGAATTGGAGAACACAGCTCAAAATCTGTAGCACGGGGCTTACTGATACTCTCTCTTCTAGTCCCCTAATTGCAGGCATAGTCACCTAGTCACTTAGCACAACCAAACAACTACAGGCTCCTTAACTCAAGACAGAGCAGATGGGATGCAGTAAGGCAGAAGGTAGGATGCAAAATGATACTAAGGAAGACGAAGAGAAAGAAAGCATGAATTTTAAGCCACTGGGTCTGGCACTCAAACCATGGTCGACTCCATGGGAGTCCAGTGACATAACCATTACGCCATCCGCTGGTCCTCCCAGTATATTTTTCAAGCCACGAGGGCCAAGATTGAACATGGGTCAGCCATGTGGAATGTAGTTCCAGTTGCACAGCTTCACTGCTGTGCTATAAGGCTGGCCCCACAGTTCATTATTTTTTAATTTTCAATTTTATTTTATAATTTCTTATTTACATTTATTTGTCGTACACATTTTTTTGGGAGAGGTTTTTGCTATAGGGCGTGTGCTCTCGCCAGAAAGACAGAAAGAGACAGAGAGACAGAAAGCGAGAAATCACCTCCCCGGGGGAATGGCCACGCTGCAATCCCTTCTCCTCTGTTCTCCTCTTGGGACCTTGGGCACATACACACATGCGCCTGGCGTGAGTTTAAGCCACCAGGTCCGGGACTCGAACTGATGTCAACTACATGGGAATCCAGCAACATAGCTATTACGTCAACTGCTGGTCCCAATTGTTGTACACTTTATGGCACACAACTGTGTTGTACACAATATGGTGTTTCAAAACATGCAAGTAGTGTGTGATAATCAAATGCAGCTCATTATTTTTATTTATTTATTTTTTAATTTGCTACAGGATGCGTAAACTTGCCAGAGAGAGGCAAAGAGTAAGAAAAAGAGAGGAAGTGAGAAATCATGCTTCCCTGCTCCCCACCAGGAGAATGACCACACTACAATTCCTCCATTTCCACTCTTCTCTCAGGATTTTGGGCACACTCACACACGTGCCTGGCATGATTTTCAAGCTGCTGGGTCCAGGACTCTATAGCTGTTGGCCATGTGGGATCCAGCCGACTTAAAATTGAAATTTCCTGTAATAAAGTTTTTAAAAATTAGAATCATGAAGATAACCTAATAAACCATAAAGCAAACATAATAGGAAAAGAAATGTAGTGAGTGTTGTCTATGGGTCATGAGATCATGGTGATTTCTTCATTTTTTTATTACAATATATATTTTTTTTTTGTTACAGTGTGTGTACTTGCTGGAGAGAGACAGAGGAAGAGAGAGAGAGAGAGTGAGAAATCACCTCCACAGGGAAGACGGCCATGCTGCAACCCCTTCTCCTCTCGGCATTTGGGGCATGCATACACATGCGCCCTGTGCAATTTTCAACCTGCCAGGTCCAGGACTTGAGCCATGAAGTTGGGTATGTGGGCTCTTGTTTCCTTAAACACCATGCCACGGACTGGCCCTGTCAGTTCCCTTTTAGATAAAAGCCATTTGACACCAACTCCAAAATTGTACAATTTTGTATGTTTTGTCATTTTATTAGCATAAATATGAACTGCTTTATCTAGGCCAATGTCAGTTATTTGCTGGCATTTCCAGTTTGTATTTTTGAAAATTAGAGCTTTAAACTCCCTGGAACTGAACTCTGAAGTTACGAAGCACTTTATGACATGACCTCTCCTAGCTGCTCTCACACCCTAGCCTCTTGGCTTTCCTATGACACACAGCTCCACCTTGCTAGA